TTGATATTATTAAAGGAAGCAAAATATAAGATGATCCTTAACATAAGAAAAAAAGGATAATGGTCGAGTATATAAGCTGAGAGTTTCTGTATGTTGAGCGTATCCTAGCGTATTCAGTGTGAAAGTTGGTCTGGTAAATTTCTGGCCGAGAGTCGTGGAAAATAATTCAGTGCTTTATGACGTATGTGCTGGTACATGAGCTTTGCTCGAGGCTAGTAAAAGTATTTTCATGCAAGTTTCGTTGAATGAGTAAAGCATTATTCGTACTAGAAATGCGTACAAGTATTTTATTTACTTAGACATTTTATTGAGTTTTTTTTCTTCATTTTACAGTATTTATATTATTTAAGTCCTTTAGTGTACTGTTTAAAAAAATATTCTCGAGTGTCGTTTAAATATAAGAGCGTGACGATTTACCAACGATGTACTTTTATTCCAAGTCCAAAGAAAACGCTCATGCATCATTCATGCTTGGCAACGACACCACCATGTCCTGGCTTTTCTCAACACACATAGGTTGTTGCATACTACATTTTTCTATGCAGGTTACACGTAAATTTCGAGTCGAATCTGGAATACCATTTTTCACTACCAATACACACTTTTTATAGGTTTTCGGTAGTAGAGAAAAGTCGATAAGACTTGTATACATTTTTTTTCAACCTTTGAATTATTAAACAATAGTACAAAAAAATCTTTTATGCTTCATTTGAATCTTTTAAATTTTCATAAATTATTCTTTTCAATTTAATTTATTAAAACAAGTCCAAGTTTTATCCTGTAGCAAAATATTTTTAATTACTTGTGTTAATTATTAATCTACTACGATGAATAGTGGAAAGATAAATAATGGAAAAAATGAGTAATTGGTGGCTATAAAAGTTAAGAATAGTTGGTTGAATCGGATGTGAATCACAAAGTTTTAGAATCGATAGTAAATAGGACGTATTCGAAATGGAGTTTGCACTTTGTGGGACTCTCAAGGAGATTTACAGTCTAGTTACCAGCGGACGTATCTACTTAAAAGCAACGTTACGCCATTTTCAAAAGCATCATCTTTCTCTCTCATCATATCATAACAACTAAATATTTTTTATATTAGATCTTTGGGAGTTTTTTGGTTCCAATTATTGAACTGGAAGATCAAGTTATGATTACAAACATACTGGATTTCAAGTGTGCTTGTATATGAATATTGGTGTGGTCTATGAAGGTATTGGTGTGTTAAAAGAAAGAAGAAAATGGAAGAAAAAAGAGAGAGAGAGACGAAAGTAAAAAATGTATTTGCCGTCCTAGTTTGCTTCGGTTGGCATTGCACGGTGAAAGCTCTTCAGTAAATCCAGCTTAAAGCGGCTGTACAAACGTTGACCTATATTACAATCACTACGAAAGCTCGTGGACTTTCTGAACCTACAGAGGGCTCTCTTCCACCTGTACTAACTTTGTCGTGTGTGTACAAAATTACTTTTAGATAAAATTACTTGGTTATTTCCTATTTTTCCTTCCTTACTTTCTCTTTCTCTTTATCACAGAGAGAGTTTTTTCCCTACACCAAAAGCTGTTTAATAAAAACTTCTTCGTGTTAAGCAGTATTAAATTTTCTCGTCGATACAAAGAACAAGTATTTCACAAATTGACTTTATTAACATAATTAATGAAGACACTATTTGTTGAATTATTTATGTCTTAATTGATTTTTTTATCATCTTGTTAGCAAGAATCTAATGAATTTTTGTATAAGACAAAACTATATGGCATAATGTTAGAGTAATAACAATTACATAAATATCTTACGGAAGGAATAATTAGTTTAAAATATCAACAACATTCTGTATAATTAAATTGGAAAAATAACTAATAAATTATTTACGGTAAATAGATAAATCTTTGAATTTTTTAAATAATGATATTTCATTGGAAAAAAGGATAAAAGAGGTAATAGCTACAAAATAAATCCGTTTTTCAGTGCACTGGCCAATTATTTAATATCTAAGCATTTTATTTCCCAGGAAAGGTCTTTAAGAATCGAGAAAGCAACTTATTTCGCCTGGAATCGGGTCAGATCGACAAACCAATGGTTTAACGGATTCTGTGGGTGGATTCAAGAACCGACGGGTTAATGTTTCTAGCCATGAACCTTTTTCTCTTCCTTTTTCTTTCCTTCTTTCTTAGCTTCAGCTTTGCTCTCTTTTCGTACGGCGCGCACTTAGTTTCGTGGCGCTTTCGCTCCTGAGTTCTTAGACCCGTAAATCCTTTAAGTGTCTCCGCCTTGCTCTCAGAGCTTGCCTCTGCAAATGCCCTTATACTTTGAAAGAAAGAGTAAGAACCCAGACCAACATTTTGAGCAAAGAAACTACGATTTTTCTACGTCTCGCTGTCGACCCGCTCATCTGTATCTTCTGTTTCCTTTTAGCAGATTAAAGCGATAGTCATCTGTGATAGAACAATGACCGATTTCAATGATAAACAATACAAATCAAGAAACTGATTCAAGCCAACTTTCTAATAAACATTAGAGACTAATGTTTATAACTTGAATCTATCAATCCTCGAAAGATTTATTCACTTTTAGCTCGAATCAGTGCCAAGTATTTGGTTATTCGATAACGGCCAAAGTGTTGGTTTTCAACTCAAATGATAAAAGCACGATAAACCATCAACCTATTGTACTCCAAACTTCAAATCCATATCGCCTCAATACTTTACACAATGTCAATGTCCCCAGCATTATCACTGGCTCAACCCGGGACAAAGATCTCTTTCCCACTTTTCCTGCTCGACTTCCCTACACTACCACCAATCCAATAGCTTCACCAGCCAGGCTTAGTAATCATCAAAAAGGGTTTTAAGATACAAAAAAGATCTAACAAAATTTATGAACAAAGTTGCCTCTCTTAAGCTCCCTGAGGCAAATATGAATAACTGGAGGAGAGAATCATGATGATGGTTCATATTTTTTATCATTCTTCAGCAGACCAGTAAATTAATCTACCTCATTTGATCTACTTTAAAGACTCCACCTAAGTTCAAAGTGACCAAATTTTATATCTTAACAAAAAAAAAAAATTTTTTTAATGAACGAAGTTGAAGATAAAATTTTTTTTTTAATCACATGATTTTAGTTAAAAAATTTTCTAAAATAACTGAATGATTTCAGTAATATGTTAATGATTAAAATCAATATACATGAAAATTTCTAATCGTATAAATAATAATTAAATATCAGTGCTCTCCAATGGTCTGAGTGCGACACAAAAGGTCCATAATACTAATTTCACATCAAAAATAGCTAAACTGATTTTGCTGAAATCCTAATCAGTTGTAAGTGGCGTAATTATGCATCGAATAAAATTGGTCCCACGTCGATATCATCTTTTGTTCTCAAGATAATAAATACACAGAAGTCCACTCAAAAATTATTGTATTCGACTCTGGAAACCTTGAAGCGTAAAAATTTTTCAAAATTTGGGTTTCGCAAAATCGGACCCATTACAATAACTTCATACTGGAAAGTTAAAATGTTTCGAGTATTCAAATGAAATTCGAAAAAAAAAATAATCATTTCAACATCAGGAAAAAGTCCAACATCATTTGGTATTTAAAATAAAAGTCCAATTGAACCTACTTTTTTTTTAAATCCTGCAAATCACCACCTAACCCAAAAAGTGTTGCCGGGATAGAACAAGAATAACAAGAAATCAGGGAATAATATTTTCAGTACATTCAAGTGTACTTGGTGATTTATTTTTCTCTTTTTCTTATTTCTTTTCTGCTTTTCTGGCATTTTCAACCACGTTTCGTAAGCTATCACGAGAAATACATTTGTACGTCATTGTTCCAAGTGGTGGTGTAGCCAAGAAATGGCTGAATGTATATACAGGATAAAAAAAAAGCTGCTAGTGATCTTGGATTGAAGAAAAAAAGCCCAGCAAGTGCATCACGTTCTGGATAGAGAGTAGACACGGCTAACTCTCATCGAACCACTTGAGTATTCTGCGTATACGGCTAACTGGTATTTAGGACTTAGATAATGCATCCCGCGTATTTCCACGAATTGTTGGCGAGTTTACTCAAGTCCTGTGCGCACAATGTTCTCCACCAATATGGCCTTAGGATCTTCCTGCAGCAGTCGATCGAAAACCCATTGACTCAAGTACGTGCTTCTGAATTGTTTCCCATTCCATGCTTTTCAATAAATCTACTAAATTTCACATTGACATTCAAAATATACTAGATACTTTACCAACCGTTGTAAGTCCAACTGTTCTATCGACTTACTATTAGGAAGAATAGAACTTGGTGCAAGCAATTATGAACAAAAGGTAAAGTAGAAGTTAAATTGGTGATGATTGCTAGCTACATAGTCAATTGTGCCATTGTTAAGATTAATTCTAAATAATTAATATGACTATTAAGAGGAAAAAAATAATCAACATTTTGAAATGAACATTGAAATTATAAATAAAAATATTAAAATGAGCTGAAAAGTAATCGAATATTCCAAAAAATAATCATAGCAGGAATAACGTGTGATTGGTTTATTAAAAATATTTAGAATCATCTGATGATTTCAGGATACTTTTCTGATTGTTTCCAACTTTACTATTAAAAGGTATGTCAAGCTGAGAAAGGTGATATTATTGCCTTCTTTAACTGTCACCTTACCTCACAGCACTTTGCCAACTCAAGATCTTTTTCCTACTCACAAAGATACAGATGTCTTTGACCCTCATAGCGTACAGATAACTAAAGGAGACAAGTCTATCCTCAAGACTATGACCTAAGTACGTGCGGACAAGACAAGGACTAGGGAGTGAATTTCTGGTATATGAAATAAGCTACAAGAAAAAAGACACTTGAAATGTGAAAAAAAATAGAATCATAGACAGGTTTTGGGGAAGAAACAGTTGACAGATGTAACTAGTTGAATAGAAAATGAATTATGTGTATCAACAATGATAAATGAAGTAATGTTTAGAAGACGTGAAAAATGTACTTACCTATGCTATCTAGTAGTAAGTCCAGCAGTTGTTCTGGACTTTGTATTCCTCTTTTTGAATTCATATCCAATGTATTCTTCTTTTTTTCATCATCAGCATCACGTTCTGAAATTAAAAAAAAATCATCTCCATTAGCCATTGACATATTTGCTTCTCTTTTTTAAATAATTTTATTCAATTTATAAATATATTCCAAAGCATAACAGATGAGTTTTAAAATTTTCATGAGAATTACCAGGAATATCAGAAACTGATTAAATTATTTGACTGATATAAAAAAATAAATTTAAATAAAATAACGTAGTTTCAATTTTTTATAAATATTTGCTGTAGTGAATATGAATGAATTATTAATTTATTATTAGCAAGCAGGTTATGAATGTTTTTTTAAAATATAAATAAATTTAAAAAATTAATGTAACGAATAATCAATGATAGATTTCATAATCAGTAAAAGAATATTAACATAATGTTGTCAGTAATTTTGAAAGCCTTTTATGTTTTTTTTTTCGTATCCTAAATCCGCTTATAGTAAATAGCTTTTTTATTTTACATATTTAATCCGGGAAAAGTGAATTTCAAATTCAGTCATAAAATCCAGAAAATCATTAATAATATTCTCAACGATAGTCCTTTTAACAATGTTAATTTTCCTATATTATTTTATTGTAATGAATGTTTTTGAAATAAAATTTATGAATAAAATAGTCGATAAAGAAATTTTAAGTAAATTGTAAAATTCATTGATCATCGAACAGAGTAAAATAAATGGAAATTGAATTCAAATTTCCAATAGCAAATTAAACATCAACATTATTTATTTTCCCAGCCACATTTTCGAATTAATTGCTTACTTGCTAGCATTCAGAATGATGATGAAAATTATCAGAGATTGCTTCTCTGAATTATTAATATGAGCGTGTGCTGTTTTCACGAGGCCTCATTATCTCACATTACACCACAAGCAACACTACCAAATATTGTTATGATTTAGTAGAGATACAGAGGTACTGATAGAGCGAGAAATAACTCGCATATACTTTTCTTATATCTCAAAGTTATATATCCTAATTGATTTATCGACAAGCAAAACTTTTTAATGAGATTACAATCATTTGAGTTTCGAAATGAAAGCAAAATTCATTTAGAAATCATCATCAAGTAAGGACTCTTTTATTAAACAGTTAAAAATCTCAGCCAAATGTAGGTGTTTCTGCTTTTTATTATCATTATTTAGAAGAGAAAGGTTTCAGTGAGTTAGTGCACGGTTCGTAGATAATTATAATTAGTTAGGTGCAGGGCTGGTCGTTTAGGGGACAAGTGGAAGCTTGAGCAAGAGAAGGCAGAGAAACAAGAGTATGAGAGGGTCGAGGGAGGAATGAAAAGGGTTAGGAGTTAGTCAAATAGAAGGGATGGAGATCGGAGGGTTGTCTCGGTGGTTCAGACGGCGGGTGGACAGAGCATTTACATCATTTAATTTATGACCCTCTCCGCTAGCGGCTAGCACACGACGACCAAAGGTACGTCTCTCGCTTGATCTCTATCTCTGTCTGCCAGCTATTCCACTGCCTACATACATCCTCATGTTATACGTGTATGACCTGTACCAGGACACATACTGATGTGCTACGAATAAATTTGCATATGTATGTTGCCGAATGCGGATGCGCAGAGAATGGAGTGATGAGGGTGAGACGAAGAGTATGCTCCAGGCGAAACGTGTACCTTGGACCTTCCTTGCATCTTTTACCAAACAACGCGTGAGCCATTGTGCTCACGACCTTGGTAACTGGCGAACCGCCAATTAGGTCTCAGACAGTTTTATTAAGCATTCGCGAAAGCACAATATCACCAGCCACTCTCTTTACTATATCCCCAGACATTAGTTTTAATTATTCAGCTGTTAAAAAAATTCTGTAAGGATTTCAATTATTATTCATTGAATTTAACCATTTTTAACTGTTATCTTTATCATTAGAATGTCAACTATTTTCTCAGTATGATATTATTTTAGGATAATTTACATAAAAAATATGATTCATTTATTAAATTGATACTTTTAAATTTTGATGAATAAATGAAAATTAGTGAAATAATGATACAAAGGCAATTATAGAGTACATAAATATCAGTCTGTAGTGAGTGAATCTAAGAGAACACAGTTGAGTAATAGTAGAGCCGAGTAATTAAAAGAGTTACGTCTTGATTTGCAGCCATGACTTTTCCACAGGGGATGTCGACAGTACGATAAAATGTTACGACTGCGTTTGTGTTATTCTCCCAGTGCGGATCATGAGAGCTGTAGATCGTACACTTTATAGTATTTCCGGCACTAGGAATGTTTTCGACATCCACCTATAGTTGGATAAATAAACTTACGAGATTATTCCGTACTCAAACTGGAACGATTTGTCATACGTAAATCATAACTACGTAATTTCCATTGTACTTTTGTATTAAGATATAAAAATAAACTTGGATATTTTACTCAAAATTTCGTAGAAAATCCGGATGTTGACGAGAAACTTGTTCACTCGTTGGAAGGTAATTTCATCAGAAGTCAAGATGGTGTGAAGGACAATGTTGGAACTCATTGGTGGAAGCCGTCCAATACATGCCGTTAGGATCAGACCGAGTTGTCTAGAGCTTCTCCCAAAACTTGATACCTTAACCCAGCCAATCAAACTTTGAGTTCCGGTAATCTCAACACCAAATACCCCGTTTGCACGTTACAGGTCATGCTAACTGGATGAAGGGCGAGAGAGAATGCCAGAGAAAGAGAGAACAGATACTCAGATCAGTCCGTTTCTACGAGCTAGTTTCTACCAAGCTAATCCTCAGCCTCTTGCCAAGAAGACCCAAGACGTTTGAGAGAACTTTTGCCTATACCTTATCTACATAGTAGGCTAACCTAAGAGTGCACTTAAAATTACTTTTAGCTATATAAATATTTTGATTATTACTAAAATGCTTAAGCAACCTTCGAATTTAATGAATCTGAATCATCAACACTATGTTACCAATAGTCGATAATGATTAATGAAAATTTGTTTTACAGATCATTTTGATCGTTAAATAAATAGATTTTTCCATCTCAAACACTCCAATCCTAATGATGTGCTTTTAGATAATTTGAAAAATATGAAAAAGGTTTACTGTGACATTCTTCTCATGTAATAACATTTGAAAACTACTTTAGAAATAATATGAAAATGTCTTGTATCAATACTTATTTAACCATAATGACTCGGTTTTTCTGTAGCTCTCGCTTTCACACGAAAACTCATTACACGCCTCAATCGCAAGCTTGAGCAATCGACTTACGGATGAAGCTCGTCTTCAGAGTAACGCTTCTCAATCTAATGAGATCCTGGAAAGCTCTCGATCGATAGTCAATCATCTCCAAGACTTTTCTTCTTGAATATAATTTAACATCTATCAATATCTTTATCTCTTTCTTTCAACAAGTTCGGTTTGAAGTAATAGTAATTTTCTTCTTTTTTATTTTACCTTTGTCTAGCCAACTAAATTTATAATTGTAACTAAAAATCCATAGCAAGCATATTTTTTATCAAACATATAAAACATGGATAATAGTAATAAATATTTTGTTCGGATTTCACAGTGTCCAAGTTCTGTCGAGCGGCAACAGCGGCCGTAAAACAGCGATAGAGAGAGAGAGAGAGAGAGAGAGAGAGAGAGGAGAAACATTCGATGGGGTCATGGAAATTCCGGACACGATTCCGACCCGAGTCCTGGACATCTCTCTTTCGTTATCGCGCTTTTGCTCGATATTCAGTGAGGGTTGGGGTATGGAAAAAGGGGGATCCGAACTCTCTCGCAATTCGCGTAGAGAACCAATGAAAATGTATCGGCCATAAATTACGTCCATCGAACGCGTTCGATGCTAGCGTGAACCTCCCAGCGTCCAGTCGAGGATAAAATCAACTTGACCTCATTTTCCCTCGAGTACACGAGGTATTTGATATTTTCTACCAGTCCCATACTAGATTTATTCCGACTTCTGTATACTTTACACCCATTTCGCTCACGCCACCAATTGTTTACAATCAATGACTACTTTAAAATTTGTCCTTGAAATTTATTCCCTCATGAAAATCATTGTAACGCTTGAACAAAACATTGACTGTGTTTTATTAAAAATTTCAAGAGGAAATTTAAGTGAAAATATATATTTAAATCGATAGTATTAATCGTAAATAATTAACAGAAAAATTCATGTCCAAGAGAAAGATGAATTTGAAAAGTCATTGTAAGAAAAATGAAGTAAACTGTCTTGAGTATGATTTTCCGATGGGAAAACTCTGTAACACGCGGAAAATCGATTCTTCGAGATATTGCTCAAGCATCGTATTCGCGAGGGAAATTCAGTCGTTTCGCTGACGTAAGCATAGCATATAGCGTTCTGTCTTCCTTATTCTTTTTATCCTTCCTCTCGTGATGTACAGATTGACGGACAGCCAGTAGTCCGTGACACGAGTTTACGGTAACTCGTGTACACTTTGTGCTTACTTTGCAAATCCTAACGAATCATTGAGATAAAAAAATGAATAATTAAATTAAGTAGGTACATTTAAAAAAAGCATATCACATCATCAACAATAAGTCATTGAATTAATATCAATTTTAATGATTAAAAAAAATAAGTTACGATGCAACTTTAAAAATAAAAAAGAATACTTGGTAAGATAAAAGTTGAAGAATTATTAACATCTGACGTAGGTTTATAGAAACCATAAAACCTAAAGGAAAAAATGATCATGACGACAGGGAGTAATTTTATTGCTCTGACGCTGTGCTTAATTATCTATAGAATATAAAACGTCGCAATCCATTTGGGAGAAAGTAACAGAGTAGAAGAAAAGAGCAAAGAAGATAAGTGAGAGGAGGAAGGTGAAATAAAACGAATAAAAAATGGAAAAATAGAGAAAAAGCTTGAATAAGTACTGGGCATTTGGCTCTGAGGAGAAAGAAGAGCAAGCACGACAGTTCCCTGATGGATAAAACACCAGGGTTGGTGCAATTAAATATGTAAAGTACCCCCTCATCTGTAGCGTAGTAACATCTGCGAGAAAATCCTTTCGTTTCCGAAGCTCAGAATTTGCTGCTTCACGTCTTCTAACCATCCGTGGTCGTCTATCCAACCACAGTATGCAATCAAACTTACATTAATGATGTAAACGACAATGATTCTTTTACGGGACTCATTGAACCGTGGAAACAACTTGTTATTTAATGTTTTAAGGGAGCAATTAATGAATTGTAAAACTATTTCACAAACTACTAGCTTTTTAGTATTTTGTTTTTTTTTTTGTACATTTGATTTAAAAATTTGTATCAATTATTTTTTTCGTTATTGATGACTAACAATTTTTGCTTCAGTAAATATTTTAAGGTTTCCAAGTGAATGTGGATGGAAAAAAATATTATTTAAGTTTTTATTAATGCGGAAGAGAGACGGGGAGATGACGAAAAAACAACAAAGATGTAGAGTTTAAAATTCTCCGCAGAGAATTTGGACTGTTAAAAAAACTGCTGAGGATTTTTAATTGAATGAACAGGTATTGGTTCATGAGAATTTTCGAATGCTGAGACGATTAAACATTGAATGGGAGGATCCTTCAATGATTGGCTACACGATACTATCGCACGAATGACCGCCCAATGTAGATCTTGATTCTGATCCTCTAAACCAACCATTGGTAACGTAAAAAAAAAAAAAAAACTTGAAAAACTTTAAAGCTCTCCATGCATCTGTGTTTGTAAGAGACATGTATCTTGAGTTGATGAATTTGGCTGAAACCTGACAATTAATTGGACAGAATAAAAATAAGAAAAGCATCTTAATTTGTAACACCTGTCGTTATACTTAATTTTAGAATTCATGGACTTACTTAACTTTACGGTATTTCAATTCAGTAAATCACTCTCACCTGTCTTCAGTGGTGCACTATATCCGTCGCGTGCTTTCGAAATTTCTCGTTAACGTCTAGACGATCAGGACAAGTCGTTAGCCATTTAACAGTTCGCGCTTCAGTCGTACAATGTCGCACAACCCGTCCCATGTGATGTAGACACAACATGGACCCATTAGCCTAGATTATCATCAGTATTTTAACTGCCGACCAATCCCATTTCATGTTAAACATCTGCCACCAACGAGAAAATTTTTAAAAAATTTCCCTGCATCTACAGATTATGTCATTACGCCTACACTGGAAGCTAAAGAATTGAGAGAAAGCAATCCAATATTTCATTATATTAAATTCATAAGACCAAAATTATCCTTTTTCTTTTTTGTTAAATTTTATTTTAAATAAAACATTAATTGTTTGGTAGATGAAAATTTCAGAATATTCTTCCAATATTTAAAAAAGAGCTTCTTAATGATTTCAGAGTATTTTCAAAGCAACAAATTTGGAAAATAACTCCACTCAATTATTAACCACACTCTAAATGTATTTTTAGTCTCATTACGAAGATCAAAAACATGTTGAAATAATTTTTCGGTGAATGCAAAAAGATATTTTACATAGAAATGATAAATATATCCATGGAAGCAGACTACTTGCCAGTAAGTTTATCTTCCTGTTATATCTACGGTGGATTGTTGTGGTGAGGCAACTGAGAAGCCGCGAATTGCACGAATAGAAAGACCGATGCTGTTCTCTACTCCTTCCGCCAAATTGTTTTGCCTCGAGCTAGTACCGTGGTCTGAATATTGAAATACTCGCTTTTTCTTCCTGGTTAACTTACAGTAGTAACGTCTGTAGAAGGAATCTACTGCAATAATCTAGTTAAATACAAATTTGTCTGACCATGAAGTATAGTTGAATGTTACAAGGGAATGGAAATAATCAAGTTCTCAATTATCTGACTTCAAGGACAGTTTAAGTAGTCATTTTTACTCAGAAGTAAAATCAAAAAATTATAGTTTTTCCGAAAGGAATGAAGCTACGACAGCTTGGCACCAAAGATTTGCAATCATTTTATTTTTTGGTGATTCAACTAAAGCACATTTAGCTATCATACATATAAATTATATTGATAAAATTTATAAAAACTTTTTTAAAAAATATTTTTTTCCTTGTAAGAAATAAAAGTAACAATCAGGTGATGTTGAAAAAAAACTAAGTAAAAAGAACGAAAGATGGAAAATGGAAAAAATGGAAAGAACGGAAGCGTTCCTGTGCACGTGTTGGTGATGATATTGACGAAAGATTTATGAAGTCTCTTCGGGGTCACGTCTCGTGCACTCATTTTTTTGTTTCAGACCAGTCTGAGCTGCTGATCTCTACTAGGGATAACTGAATGATCGTTTCTTACAATATTCAACTTAAATTAAATACTCAAATGTTGTGAATTAAAATGCTGATGAATAATATCTTTCCCCTTTATTGAAATAGGAACAATAATTGATGCTTCTTTACGCCTTAAGACTTTTTTTTTTCTATTTATGAGAGAAAAATTCAGTACTATTGTTTATTCGATTTTTTACATGAAACGATAATCGAATGAAAACACTGGTTCAATGACCGCACTTCTATTCTGTATGGATAGTATATAGAATGTATAGGTATTAGGATGATGCTGATGAAGGTTAGACTTCGATTCACATGTTATTATTACAGTAGTGGTAATCCCACTAGCGCGCTAAATTTATTCATAGCTTTAGCTAACCCTATTATGGAATTTTAAACCCAGCAGCGTGCGTTGGAAGTGAAATATCACTTTCTCGTTTGAATGACTCAAACTTTTTTCATTTTTCTTCTTGTATTTATTCTTAAAGTATTTCTAAGCAATTTTTTAAACATCATTTTCTATTTTATTGATTGAAATTAATTTTCATCTTTTGACAAACAAATAAAACACTTATTTTAATTTAAAATTAAAAAATTATTAAATATTTATCAAAAAATTAATTTTTAAGATGAAAACTAGTCATCGATTGATTGTTTAGGCAAAAATATCTCTAGAATTTTGATAGAGAAATTATTTTAGAATGGTGAATAGTCGTTGAAGTAGCCATTCACATTTAATATTTATAAAAATTGAAACTTACAGGATAGTGGAGGTGCAGCTGATATAGGAAGATCAATTTACATGAAAAGCAGCAACACCTGTAACAGAGAAGAAAGAAGATGGATATGTGAGGCAATACATCAAGATCAAGTACATTTATGTACACTCATATCATGTTTACCCAAGTCACAGGTATACATATACCAAATCGTATTTATGTACATAGTATTGCAGAAAAAAAAAATAATTAAGAAATATTTATCATATGTTTTTATTGTAAATATAACACTAGTATTACAATATTATTGTGGCAATTTTAGTAAATTTATTACCCTCTAACGACATTCTTCATGCCGAATTTTTAATTATCTCCAATAAAATAACATACTTTTTAATAAAATAAATTAGAATTTATTTCTTTTAATAAAAAAAATTCATCAAGCAGTAATAATTGAATAAAAGTAATTGAAAGATAACAAATATCGTGGCAAAAAAGTGTAAGATGCTCAGACGAAATAATCAAATGGTTGCGACAGTAAAAAATGGTCCGGATTTTCGAAATGTCATAGAATGTCCTCAGGCATTGGTGTTTATATCGTTCCTCTATATTTCTCGATGATTCTAGAGTAAAAGCATTGGGATGAAGCAAGTGAGGAGAAGAGAAAGCGAGATTCGAACAAAGTGCGTTCCCAATTTCGCTACAAAGCGCTCGAAGCAATTCAAGTGACGTTGGTAGCACACAGAGCGTCGTTTTACCGGCCGTTTCACTATTGCAATTCGCTTCTCGTATCATTCTGTCTCTCAATTCGTAGACGATAAATGTCGTAGTGCGCTAGCCTTGCGAATTTCCACGAAATGTCATTTCAGCGAAACTCCATTTGGTACAAAATGAAAAGCATTGCCCAACAATAAATTCACGAGAGCTTGTTGTCAATACATAAGCTATCAAACAAAATAAATTTCTACTTTGTTTGGATAAATAAAACTCCATGTTTTTTATTGATGAGTTTGTGTTCAAAAGGTGACATTGTTGAGCTTAATATTTGTCCTCTTAAAACTCTCGTGTTCGAATTAAAAAAAAAAAAAAACGAAATAAAAATTGAGCTTCATAATAAGTACTATACTAAATATAAATTAATTAATGAATTTATTTTAATGATTTTTTATTTCAGAAAATTCACGTGTGCTTGTGGTTGATAGTTTTTTGTTAACTTTCTATAGAGATCTACTATTTATCTTTATTCCTACACAGCATCTATCGGACGAATTCTCGGCTTGCACTAGTGTCAGTCTGAATAATACATGTCTGCTGCAGAGGGTGTACGGCGTCGACACGGCCCACTATGTTTCCAGCTTCTCTTTCTCCACATTTCAACTCATCCTCGTGTCCTCAAAAATACGTCCGGATTCACCGACCTCCGGTAATTTACATTTGCATCTCGTGTAATCCCTCTCCATTTAATTTTTCCCCATTTGTAAATCTGTAAACTTGATTTCTTTCATCAAAAACTACCCTATTAATTAATTTTGTCTCGACTACATTCAGTAAACGCTTCAGTTACAAATAGAACTAATCATCAACGTATTTGTAATAAAAATACTTCTTTTTTCAATTCAACATATTTATGTGATCCATAATCAATAAAAATCAAAGAAATTTTATTTACTATTTACTTTATGAAACTTATTACCCAATTTTACTTAATTAATATCTAAAAAGATTCTGAAACAGTTCAGTCATTAAATTACTCAACTAAAAGCTTAACCATTACTCCAAATTAGTTGAAAACGAAGGAATTAGCAGAGCAAAGAAAAAATATTTCAGAATATTTGATTGCAGCGTAAAAAAAAAAGAATCTCTCTTGAAACTCAAACTCATCAGCACTTTTATTATCGATTGGCTGGCATTGCCAGTGAAGAAGAAGAAGAAGCATAAGATCTGGTTGAACTGGCCGTTAAACCGCTAGCAAGAAAGTTAGATCGCTCGCAGAAGCGTACAAGTAAATAACAAGCAGTAAGAGACATAGACTTCTCGTTGGAATAAGGTAGTAAGAGCTAGAAGGAGGAGTTGTAATTAAAACCGGTCGGTATTTACTCGGGGGTAATGAAGGGGCAAACACACAGTTTGTCTCCGTTAGTTGTATCCAACGTCTGACCCCGACCTACCTACTTTATCCTCAACCTACGCCACCTCCAACCCATCGCACAGTGCAGCTGTACTTCAGAACGTGGATACAGTAAATAGCCAACTCCCACAACGCCTGAAACGTGCACTACCTTACGCTACACCTGCTTCTAGCTAACTAGAGCCTCGTTTGACTATCAACCGCATTTTCTACTTTGCGTTACATTTTTTACAGACAAACCTCCCTATTAGAAGTTATTGTTTGATCAAATATTTGTTGTTACAAGATATAATGAACGCTTGTGCGTACAAACGAATGAACAAGTGAACGCACGAATGAACGGATGTACTAACGCATCCACGGATGAATGAATGGACAAATGGAAAGGTATCAGAGAGAAATAAATCTTCAGAAAATCTCAAAAGTTTTTTTTTTCCACCAATCGATTGCTCAACGAGCTGATAAGTCGACGGTATCGAAAAACGGTCGATTTCTTCTTCCACTAAATAAAAAATTCACACGAAAAAAAGTTCATTAAAATTAAATTTATAAAATTTTATTATTCCTTAAGAAAGAGGATTTTTGTAAATTTCTATTCAAATAATTAATCAATCTTCTGATGAGTACTACATGTAAGAGTTTAGGTGGTTTATATACATAAATTATTCATTGAAGTAATTAAAAGAATATAAGGAATTATGAAGTGGATCATCAATGAAATTGTTTTGAAGAATGCATATCAGACTGTACGTTTTCAACATAATACCCCATTTTCAAGATGTGCTCCATTTCTTTTTCTTGAGTCTGGAGGAGGAAAAAAAACAACGTGCAGAGGCAAGTCAAGAGGTACTTTGTGACTAGGGATTTATCGTTAAAAGTTTCCCGTTTTGAGAAGAGAAAATGTTGAAGTGCCGCGAGCCTTGTGACCTTTTCAAGAATTTCGTTTGCGTAAATCTCATTTCTAATCTTTGGTCTTTCTTTACTTCTTTCGATCGCATCTTGTTTTAAAGAAAGAAAAAAAAACTTTCCAAGAATTTATACCCTCATTCTCAAAGTCTTTTTTCCGAATTATTTCCTTAAGTCGTGTGATAAATCAATTGCATGAAGAAAATAACAATGAGCTTTAATTGAAGTGAATAAAATTCTCACAAAGCAATAACATACTTATTTCCACTCTGGGTATAATAAAAACTTACATACAAAAGGAAGAAAAATTATCATTAAGTGTGACAGGGGAATTTTTCGCAGGCAAATTGCGAGTGCGTCTTTGAACACTTGGGTACGAATATTTTCAAATGTCTATCCGACTGCCACTTACTTAGCTGAGGAAATAAAAATAATATTTTCCACAGTACTTAAAGAATGCCACGTTGTCTGGGTGATAAGAACATTATAGGATAGAACCGGGAAAAAATTAACCACTTGAGATATTACGAAAAGAAAAAAAGCCTTTGACCTTATCAGGTCTGCTCTACTTAATCACTTTTCTCGTATTTCACTTACCAGAATACAATTCCTTTTGCTTTTTTTGTACATAAGATCAACAAAAAGTTTGGAGTTTATTTGATTAAAAAATGAAAAAATTTCAGAAAATAATTTGCAAATAATTTGCAGATTGTTAAAAAAACAAAATTGGATAATTGCAAATGATTTATTTATTGAAGGAATAGTTTTAGACATTGCGATCATTTTCTATCCCTGACATTATATTTTTTATCTTCGCTTGAATCAACGAATAATGCTGATCAGTCAGTCGTGAAATATTCGGAAAAATCAGTGACATAATTGTCGGAATTGCAAAATATTCTCGACGATAATAGTTATTGTTAGAGCAATTGAATAAATCTGATACGTATTCGGTATAGGATCGTAAGTGAAAACGACAGAGAACAATTGGACCTAAGCCATCGTCTTGAGCGACAGCGCAGATGTGGCAAAAATATTCACAATTACGTGTCCGTCGCTCAGTCGACGCGGTGTGAATAATAGACGCTTTTCCGTGCCTCTCAGTTCCCCTCACTCAACATGAACCTCTTCCGTCGATTTTCCTCTCTACTTTCCGGGAAATTCGTGACGGCCTATAGAAAATTGGCACAAGGTTCTTGTCGCCATTTTGTTACACCTCATGTAATTTTTCAATTTTAGCACACCGATGCCACCGCGTGGAATTCGCATTACATACATGCTCACTAAAATTGCGTCTCAAGTCTATTTCATGCATGTCTTTATTTTTTACTGATCCATTTTTTTAACTATTTGTTCAAAAATCACATTTAGAGATCGAAAAAAAACCTTCTGAATTGGCCTACATATCGATTTCAGTTCAAATTGTTCTCTTGCAAGAATTGAGAATATTAATTATAACTAAAATTCATTTTAAGAAAATATTTAAATTCAATTAATAAGTTATACAGCTCATAGAAGAAAAAAATATTTTAATATCAAGGGTTTATTTGGGTTAAATATGTGAAAATGGATTTATTTTTGCGATATTTCTTAACATAAAAATTTTTTACACGTAAAGAACATTGAAGTGGTGGCGTGGAACTTTAGAAAAAAAAATAACTGCTTTGAGAATAATTCAGTATGTTTTTTTTCCTACCAACAAAATTGGGTAAAGGAAATATTGATGCTTTTGTTTTTGAATATTACAACTAAATATGATGATAAATTTTTGTTCAAACCCAGTTAATGTCTAGGTACTTTTTTTTCATAATAACAAAAAAAAAATATTCTTTTGACAATGTGGTTGAATTGTAAACGTTGTTAAATAAAATACAGTTGTTAACAAACATTTATTCGTAAAAAGTAAAATCCATTTAAACTGTCGTTTTTTATTAATTCACATATGACTAGATTGAAATGCTTAAAAAAGAGCGGACAAGCATTGAATGACGGGACAAATGAACGTTTCTCTGACGCGACTCGAATTATCGATTGTTCTCTGGGTGTTTGCAACACGCAACATTCGC